TAAATACACAGCACCATATAGTTCCATGGTAAGCTAAGACGCTTGTGTTATGGATACCAGATAGTCGATACACTATACATATATAACTTTAAATACATACAACTCAAAAACTACAGCACCGATTTTCATGCTGTTTTCACCAATGGATAAAGTGATTCATAGAGTGATGTATATAATTTGTTAAGTTTTGTATACATTGGCTAAAATATAACGATATTTGTTGGAGGTGTCGGAAAAAAATAAGCCGTCTAGGAGCTTTCAACAAAAACGCTGCCTAAAAACTTTGAGATGTAACAAAATAATGTATGGTGGAATTGTGTCTCATATATAGGTTTACAGAAAAGTCCGCGATATGTCTCTCTCAAAAGGATAACATACTATAATCCATTTTAATTTTAAACCTAACTAGGGACGAACCCGAGCGAGCGAAGGTGAGTCGCTAGTTATAAATATAAACACACATGACTAGAATACACACATTCGTGCTCATCACACAAATGAATGCCCCAGCGGGACTGGAACCCGCGACCGCTGGCGCAGCATGTAAGGTCACTGCAAACTGTGCCATACATGTCGTCTAATATTTATGCTTTACCAATATCTCTCATCATCATCAGCAATGTCGTAGGTAAAATTTCACATTCATGTTTTAACCCGCCATATTTCTAAGCACGTTACTTAACAAGAAATATCATGTTTTGAACAAAGCTCCCCTGTATCGAAGCAAATTAAATATTTGATATATAATTAAACCTTATGTAACCTCGCAATAATGTTACTAATTTAAGGCTCGCATGAACATTTACCATTTATGAAGCATCGCACGACGCTTGTGTCATGTTTCATAATGAAAACAAACTTTGATTATAAAGAAATATTATGTATATGTATTTTATTGCATAAATAAAAAAAAATCTTCAATATACATTCAGACCTTATTTTTATATCGTTGTAGGAAAAGATAAAATTTTAATATGTATTTTTCGACTCATTGTTCATCTTAAATTGTTAACAAGACAAGAAAATATCTATATACATATGTATATAACATCACACTAATCATATATTAATAATAATAATATATATTAGATACATATAAGAGTAAGATTAATCCGAAAAGATGGTTTCATTGTTTAGCTTCATGTTTATTTCTATGACGCTCCGTCTATAATCATTCCTTAGTCTGAGGTCTATACATACTCGTATCTCTACAAAGTTGTAACTGTAAGCCACAATATAAAAAAGGCTAATACCATATACATGTAAACCTGCGACATGAGATTGACGCGGCTTTTTTGAACAATAATAGTTATACATATAATATGAATGGAAGGGTTATTACAGGCAATAATAATAAAATAGAAATAGAGCATATAAATGAAGACGCCGTTAACTATTAAAAAAATGGTTCACAATTACTAAAAATATCGTATAACATACATAAATCTTACGTCCGAATTAGGCACCTTCTCCTTTCTTGAAATTGGACAAAAAGGCTGAAGCTTCATTCATTTAGGCAAGTTATAAAACTTCCTATTGAACGCTCCCACAGCAACATTCACACGCAGTGAAGCATTTATCAGAGCTAACCACTAGGTTATTGGCAAATTGCTGTACAAAGCCGGTTCGATGCTATTCGTCACATCGATGCTTACGAACCGTTTCCATACAATACATAATTCATCGTGTCCGTCGAGGACACGTCTCTTAATAGTGTAAAATGAACGCTATTTCTGTGCTTTAAAATTGTACAGCAAATTTTGATAAAATATTACAGAATAACGAAGTTGTAGAGTCTCAGTATTTGAAAGTTAATAAATGTGAACGCGATGGCAGGATTTTCTAGTTTCTATGTGTTGAAATAACGTTAGCTAAAAGAAAATGTTGACTTAATATGATCTTAATTGTCTAACAGGCTTGTGGAGGCCAATACATTGTATTTCATACTTTCCCCCTGAACTGAGGCGAACATTATTGTTACTATAAACTACATCACTTTAGTCCTACGTAAGAGTCAATCCCACGACCCACGACGCAATTAGCAGTCAAATGTCATTTTTAGGGTTCCTTACCGAAGGAGTAAAACGGGACCTTTTTTACTAAGACTCCGCTGTCCGTCCGTCTGTAACTAGGCTGTATCTCCTGAACCTTGATAGTTGGACAGTTGAAATTTTTACAGATAATGTATTTCTGTTACCGCTATAACAACAAATAGACTAAAAAACAGAATAAAATAAATATTTAAGGGGGGCCCCATACAACAGACATGATTTTTATAGATAATAGTAAGGAACCCTTCGTGCGCGAGTCCGACTCGCACGTGGCCGGTTTTTATTTACATTGAAAACGATCATAATACATCATTTCCAATGTAGATCTAAAAAAATAATCAATTAATCTCTATACCGACACTAATTACCACCCACGGTTCCGTTCGCATGGTACGTCGATAAAAAGCAGCTTATGTTTAATTCTGTATATAAACTATCTCTATTCTGAATTTTACTTAAATCTGTTGAGCCGTTAGAGTAAAGAAGTAACAAATAAACATACTCACAAATTGTCACATTTATAATATTAAAACTCTTGCCAAAATTATCAATTAATTTCTCTTACAAAGCTTATATTTTGCCTTATCCATTTCTGTTTTTTGCAATACAAAATCTCTGATCGTGCCCGCGTTTAATCATGGATGACAAGTTTAATTGAGATGGAATTTGACATATCACTTTGATGACAGTAATATGATAACATAGAGTGAGCCGAATGACGGAGACATGGGGTGACTATGGAAGTCATATATTTATAATACGAGTATGTAGGTATTTAAAGTTATATAACATATATAACATACATATATATATATATATATATATATATATATATATATATATATATATGTAGTGTATCAACTATCTGGTCTATCCATTACACATGGTGTATCCATTACACATGCCTCGTAGCTTACCATGGGACTAGATGGTGCTGTGTGTTAATGTCCCAACATAAATATTTTTTCGGATTGACTATATTATTGTTGACCCTATTGACTTTGACGGACTTTTGACTTTGACCCCATTTACTTTTAAATGACATCAGATGAGGTGTTTATGGCTCTCTATGTCATGAAAGTTCAGAGAAGAAGACGAAGTCATAAGAGTACTTCCTGCGAAGCGCGAAACTCGTGTTACAGCATCTTTGACGTAAAAGCGTCCGTCAAAAAAGTACGAGATACACAATCCCATGCAAAAGTTCCTTAAAACTGTCACCAATTTCTTAGGTAATTATTTCTACTTGAAATAAATATGCAACGGTGTAAATTGAACCTTAAATGCAATGCTTAAAGTTGTTTTCACAAAAAATATTATTTTAATTTGAGCGTTTAAATGTTTAAATGAGCGCTCATTCGGTGAGGACATTTTTTTCGCTGATTGTGTATCTAATATTTTTTTAAACTATGCGTAGAGGATTGATTAGCTCTAAACCCCAAATTTTTAAATAAAAATTAGCATTTTTTTAATTTAATATGAAAATCTACTGCACAATCATTAGCGATATGTTTTTTCCTTAAGGGTGTAAAGATATTTGAGTACAATTATAGTGTAGACATCGTTAGGGGAATCACCCCATGGTTAGGGGTTGTTCTGCTATGAGAGCTATCAGGGTTAGATTTATATACGAAAACCATATTTTTATCTATATATGTATGTTCTAATTAGTATATTGCTGTGTATTTCTTAATAAATTACATCTTATCATTATATTTGTATATTAAAGAGCTTTTACGAATACATCGATTGATGTACTTTTAGGGTAACATAATATGTAAAAAGAAAAGAAGTGTGGTTTTTAGAATATTATAAAGCCAATTTATTAGCAATTAAATTGTTTTTTTTTTCTAGCAACTAACCTAACATAAATATGTACATACTCGTATATGCGTACGAGTATTTGAAAGAAAGTTATACAATAATTACCTTTCAATTATGAATACTTATTAAGATGTATCTGGAAAGATTATAAATGAAACAAATAAAAGTAATGTTAGAAGGTTTAATAATAACAGATTTTTATAAGGTCTTTATTCTGTTTTAAGATTTTTTACCCGTATATAATGTATACGTAATAATGTAAATTAAAATATATTTATTTGATAAACTCAATCCAAATAACTTAAGTTTAATTAAAATATTTATATAATCGTAATATTACACATAAATGTAAAATAAAATTTTCACATTATCCGAGGCAGTTTTAAAGTATCAGAAATAATTATAAAAGTTAACTGCCTCAATGTAACGTTATTAGTTTATCAAAAGGGGTGGATTTTTCTTTTAAGAAAATTATTATAATAATATAATATAAAATGACCTATTAATTGGAAATTATATTATTATTTATTTATTAATTAGAAAAACTATAATTTATATCGGTCTTTAGACAATACATACATACAAAAAAACCATTACCACTCCGAATTGAGTTTTAAACTCACGACAAAAGAGTTTCATACTTTTTTTACTAAATTAAAGGAATATCAATATAATTATTTTTTTTACTATCACCTTTAATAGTTTTATTTTTGTGAGAACTTTTATGGTATAACTGTTTTTTCTGGAAACTTGCCATTTTAATAAAATATTTTAATTTGTATATAATTTATATGAATAGATTTTAATAAAATTAATATTCGCACCCATTCTATCTTAATACTATTTTCTACACCTAAAGGTTGCCTGGAAGAAATCACTCTGACTTTAGCGATAAGGCCGCCTCTTGTACATTTTCTTTTCTCTTGAGTGTACATGAACATGACTTATTATTATTAAACTGCGGTCAAAGAAAGAAATAATAAATAATAAAAGTAAAAATATTTTTTTTGCACCTTTAGTGAACTAAAACTTTATTACAAAAACTATACACGTAGATAGTTTAAAAATATTAAAGCAATATACAATATACATACATATGATGATATGGAGTAGTATCTCACCATGTCAATCAATAGTAATGCGGCTTATTCTATAGGAATCACCTACAATATTGGTCGAATTGTATCTTTGGAAGAAATTCTTTAAATCTAAACCAGTCTCGCCTGTAGTTTCGCTTATGGCTGTAACAACATCATTAGTTCTGCCATTCCTATGACCTAGACTTAGATTATATCTAGAACATTCTATATTTACATTTCTAGTACTAAAACTCCTGCCTAGAGACTTAGTGCGTTTTACACTGAATTTGTCTTTGGGTAATTTAATGTCGTATATAGGATTTATTATGCCAGTGCATTTTTGGTTTAAACGTTGTGATGATAATTTAGATGAAATTTGTTCTAATTGTTGCATGTGATGCTCCATTGATTGGAGGCGTATTGGATCGTATTCCGTATGGCGCTTGTGCTGTAAGAAAAAAACAAGTTATTTTTTATGCTGTGATTCATTTTAAATGAAAATAGTTACTTTTAAAATAAAAAATAATGCATGGACTTTTTGGGTAACTATTTTTGGGTAACGTAATTTGTTCAATAAAAACAAAATTATAAAAATCAGTTTGCGTAAATATCGCGTACTGATTTTTATAATTTTGTTTTTATTGAACAAATTACGTTACCCAAGTATGCAATATAATAAGGCAGTGGTAGCCCAGTGGTAACACGCTCGCTTGGGACACCGAATGAAGTGGGTTCAAATCCCGGGTCTCGCACCTCTGACATTTTCATGTGCGAATCATTTCTAACATGATTACCGCTTGCCTTACGGTGAAGGAAAACATCGTGAGGAAACCTGCATGTCTGAGAGAACCTAGCAAGTTTTCGAAAGACATGTGAAGTCCGCCAACCCGGACTTGGCCAGCGTGGTGGTCTATGGCCTGATCCCCCCACGTATTGAAGGGAGGCCCGTGCCCAGCAGTGGGACATTAAAAAGGGCTGAATACACACACAAATATCGCGTAACATACACACAAAAATACATACACCCAAATTAACAACCTTTATATTAGCTTGAGGATCTAAATAAATAAATTGTGGTATATTCATAAATTCGTTTTATCTAACCATAATATAATATTTTTTAAATATAGTGCTTGTGAATCAGAAAAAAACTGGGAATTAAAAAAATGTATTTTATCAGATGTTGAGAAATTGCAAGAATATTAATAAAACTTAATAATTAATTTAAAGAAATAGTTAAAACAGTATTTATGTCTAACGTAATCAGGGCTTTTTAATATGTCTGTATTAGGTTCTATACTTACAGAGTAATATTACCTGTATCTCCTTGTTACGCGGCAAGGGCGGCGGCTGCGGCGCCTCGTCGCCGGACACGTAGTCCGGGGGCTTCGCCCTGTACCTCTGCAGGGGCTCCGAGGCTCCTTCTACCTCGGGAAGCCTCCATGTACTATTGATATAGGAAACAGTTTACATTATAACTTAGAAGTTTCATAGAATACACTTTGAAGAATTGAATTGAATTTTGATTGGATTTGGGATAAAATGTGATCGAGGTGTTTGGCCATTTTTTATTTATTTTTAATTGACTAAGTATAAACAGTTTTCTTATAATTCACAAATTACACGAAGAATTATTGTTTTGTGCCTGTATTTTCAAACCGTTAAATATTTTAAACATAATTTTATGATATTTAGTTATCTGACGACATCACTAGAGATTTTTTTTTGGAAATCAATCAATAATAAATATTATTGATTATGTTAAGCTTGTAATTATTCCCTTCCTTCCAGTTTCTCTAGCAGTGGGACATTAAACAACTCTGAATGAGAATAAAATGGAGAATGTTAGTAAAAACTTTGTAGCAGTTAAAGTTGAAATAAATACGGGCGTTTTTTAGTTCATTTACAGAATGTTACATAAATTACTATATTGGCGAAGTTCTATAAATTTTGGAAAAAATTATAAACATTTTGGTTAAATGTATAAAATAGAAAAAATTTAAAAGGTTTAAGTAAAACCATCTTTTCAGATTTTTTCGCGGAATTATTTTGATTTTTGGTTCTCGCTCACGCGTTTCGAACGCTCTACAGCAATTGTGTTTTTTCCGTTATTGTATAGATTTTTAACGCGATCATTACGTCGGGAACCAAAAATAAAGAAACCGAAAAAATAGCTTTATTTAAAATGTTAAATTTTGCGTAAATTTAAAAGAAAGTATAAATACTTTCTTTAAAAGTGTTTTTTAAGAGTTTTTAGTGTATTTTTAAAGTGTTATATTTTGTACTCACAGCGCATCGCGGTCGGCGGAGCGCGCGCGCGCAGCCCGCGCCAGGCGGTGCAGCGCGAACAGCGCGCCCTCGCCCGCCGCGCCCAGCCAGCTACACAGCTCTTGTAGTATCTAGTAGATTATTATGAAAAAAATAATCTAAATAATTATTCAATTACACTATTACAAGCACTTTTGACTCGTCAATTTTTACAATAGTGAAGTTTAACTTAAATATCAGTAAGTCCGTGAGTTTTCAGTTCTTGCTGCCCGGCGAGACGTTCAACAGTTGCTCTTTTAAACACCCGTGCCTCGGAAAACATGTTAAACCTTCGTTCCTGCGCCTGATATCCCACAGCATTAAATTATTTCATTTTTACTAAACATCAAGAGTCTATCGACAGTTCGGAGAAGAGTCCTTAAAAGAACTGGTAAAAGAAACTGAGCAGGACTTAAATTATTTCTTCATATTGTATTACTAAGTTAAATTTAGAGTTGTAAATTGAAGTAGCCTGGAAGCACATCATTTTCAAAGTATTATCTTCTATAAAATCATGTATTGTATACATTTAGAGCATAAAAGTTGTTTAATATTCATTTCTTATACAGCAATATGGCTTATATCCCCGACACGGTGGCTAAAATTAAACTAAGCAGACGTAGCCGCGGACAAAAACCAGTTACTATATAAAAAAAATTGTACCTTCGTAAAAAAACCATTTTCTAAAAGTTAATTCTCTTTTTGGCGTTTTAAGTGAATTAAAAATATATCTGAACAATCTGATACAACATATGAAAGGAAAATGCTTTCCAAAATTCAATGAAAATTATTCATAACGAATGAGTGCTGAGTGAGTAAAATGTTTTAATTAAAAATAATATAGAATAATAAAACAAACACTCAATTTTCTTGTTAATGGATTTCAAGCGTACTAGCTGAGTTTACTTATAAAATGTACGAAATATTAATTGTTAATGTTTAACTCAGCTTCCAAATTAAATGAGATTAAATTTTGTAATATTTAACTAAGCCGAAGTCTAATTTATCTTTACTTCTATCGCTTCCTTAATATTATCTTTTATCTTGTTTAAAGCAAAATATAATATAAAAGGAAGTTTCTGACCACAACTACTATCCCTAACGCATCAATAAACTCGTGGGGTTGCATGGCTCGGCTCGCCCGATTTAAAAAAAAGAGGTTAATTTTAATAAAGTCTTTTTCCGTGTCAACGACAACCATGGAGTCGCTTCCACGGTCCACTCTGCTATCAGATAAGTACTAGGAGAAACCCGCAAGGCACACCGCCCACCGACGTGGGCCACCTGCGAATCTCTTGACTGTGCGCTCGGCTGGGTTGCCGGACGGACGCTAATGACCCCCCTCCCCCTTCCCCCTCCCACACACCATGACAAAGTAAACATACATGAGGTGGATTCATTATATACCACCCTTGAACCCAAATATATACATATGATAAATTAAACACACTCACAGTAAACTTGCCCCGTTGCAGCAAAGTGACCACCAAATCGCCTAAAGACAGGTGTAAGCGCGCGCCCCGGGACATAGTATTTAGCGGCACCCCATACTCGGACAGGAGCCAGTCGTCATGGGCCGACCACGTGTCCTCTATATCTGATGTGCCCGATTCGTCTACTGTTGTTTTAGACAAATACGGATTGAGAATGAGTTTGTACGATGTCATTGTTACTTTATTCTATTATTAATTATTAAACACATTTCTGATAACTTGAGTTTTATGTGTTAACTTACTCTCGCTTTACTTGGGTGCGTCTCCAAGTGTCTAAGAATAACCTATGTGTCTGACCTCAGGTCATAGTCTGTCTGTGTACTAAATTTAACCAAATCAGTTCAGCCGTTTAAACGCGTAAGAGTAATAAAAATAATAAACTTCCATATTATATATAATATTCCAAAGTGAATTTTTTCTATTAAATCCTACAAATTAGTAAAAAAGTAAGGGTAGTTATATGCATTATGCATCTTTGTAAATAAAGTGAAATAATAATAACTGTCGTACTTACCACAAAATACATCCTTCACACTATTTATAAAATCCAATGTCTCCAAAATACTTGGTCTACTTAAAGCATCTTTACTCCTGATAGAAGACCCAGCAGATCGCGGTCTTTCCTTTACTTCCTTTATGCTCTCTACAGGTTCCGTGTACACTAAACTCTTCAATGTATGATATTTTCGCCTCAAAGTCTTTTCATCTGATTGATTTACGATGGAAATTTCTGGAAAGCCATGTGATGTGGCGGGTCTGCTTCTACGAGACCGTCTTCTGACTTTTGGAAGATCTAAAGTTCGTGAATCGTCTGAATTAGATGGAATAATATCAGGTTTTGTAGTGTTTCTCCAAAAGTTGCCATTTTTAGCGCTATTTAGTATCTCTTCTGTACTACCGTGTCGGGAAATTTGTTTCAATTCTGGTCTGGAATAATAATGTCATTTTATAAGTATTTAAATTGAAAAATTATATTAAAAATAACCTTTAACAAATCTGAAGTATCCTTTAACAAAAGTGCAATAAAATGCTAATAATAGAAGCTATAAATACTAATATTAAAATCTTTTTTTAGAACAATTAATATTACGGTCGAGTATTAATATTAAAAATAAATACTTTATCATTAATTCAAAGGCCAATAAATCTGGATTACTGAAACAAAACTGATTCTTATAATCAATCTTAATTATTATTATTAATGTTAAAAAAATATAATTATAAGAAGCAAAAATCAGCCACCGGGAAATCTTGTAACTTGTAAGATTGCACTGACAAGAAGTACTTTACTATTCCGTTTCATGTCAGATATTTGACGAGATAATACCCACAATCCATTTTGCAATATGAAAGATCACAGTTGGAAACAAACGCGTCAGATCTAGCAAATTGTAGTGAATGCGGGTGGAATTCTAAACAGCTGTATTTCTATGCAATATGCAATAACTTGGAGTTTTATGTTTATGAGTTTATTCATATGTACATCTGTGTGTCCCACTTTTATTGTTTAGGATCTTTAGAAGATTCTTGAAGAAGAAATGTTTATATTTTATTTTTAAAAGTTATCAAAAAACATATTTTCCATATTGATAATATTTTTTTATATTTACTTGAATATTTGACATTTTAAATAAAACTATATTTTCGGATTTTTTCGCGTATTTATTTTGAATTTTTGTTTCTGGCATTTCAAATGCTTAACAGAAATCATGGCCACGGGAAAGACCAGTCTCTTTATTTAGTCTCTGTATTTAAATTTGTTACAAAGACAGGTTATTGTCTGCTTATATTTTGAAGGTCACTTTTTATGTCGGTAAAATGTACGGTTCCCGTGGGATAGATTTATTTTTGTTTTTCACTAGGAACGAACTCGAGTGAAGCGAGGGTGATTCGCTAGTTTCTCAATAAATACTTTACTAGTACATTATCCAACACAGACTAACTCTAATCTAAACTTGGCACTAGTTTAATCTTCTACGTTCACGGTAATTAGATATAAAACTTAGCTTTGTTGGTAAAACCAGATTTACTACAATTATTATATATTGAAAAATTTACGTATTTTAACATAAATAATATTATATATTCCCACATAAAAAGTAACGTACTCAGCCCTCAAATAATTTGCACCAAATCAAAAAAACTAATTTTTTTTTACTATCCGTACCGTATAATAAATTAAACAAGACACGCAGATACGCAACATTAACATTAGTTATTAAACCATAATACTTCCTTAGAATTACACGAATATTTAACTAAAAAAATCCGAAAAGATAGTTTTATTAAAGCATTAAAAAATTTGTAAATCATCATAAAATCTCTAATAAAAAAAGGCCCTAAGATACTACGTGTTGCAAGTCTTTACGACCTATGCCACTTTTCGACTTATGTTCACAAATCATGTTGTTATATTACTTAGTTACTACGCTAAAGAAGAACAGACAATTTTAATTTAATGTTCGTATATTCGAAAGTTTGTGAGTGATTGGGTTTTTTATTTCTTCAAGCCAATTGCTGTACGGATTTGAGTGAAATTCGAAATAGAGATAGATAGAGCCTATATTTTGAAAACACATAGACTTAAGTGTAGTTTTTATTAACATATTTACATAAAGCGAGTTTAAGAGAAAAAAAGGTACCTACCTAACAACTCAATAAAGAAAAAAGTCTAATATAATATCATTTTATTTAATATTAATTTAAAAAATATAAACATTTTGTTAAGAATAACTATGTATTACAAAAATAATACTCACCGTCCATGTAGAGCATTATGAAAGGCTGCCAGCACACATCGCCTCGCCAACTTTAACTTCGCGTCAGCTTTGTCTCGTCTACTCAAAGTTAGTACGCGAGAAGAATTACGATCTCGACGTGAGGGCAGTTTTACTAAATAGGATACAGCCAATCCTTCACCAGTAGGAAATACGAGGCGGAAATCTGATGAAAAAGAATTATATATATATATATATATATATATATATATATATATATATATATATATATATATATATATATATATTATCAGTCAATAATAAATGTATTTGAGGATAAGGGAATATATTGTATCCAGTATTTGAATGCACATTTAATGATTTAATAAAACATACTAGGTTATGACTGTGTTTTTCTTAGTTAAGCTAATAAAAACTCTCGCTTTATATGGACTACATAATGATCGTCTAACCGCTTTTGTTTATGGCAGGAATCTCACGTAAGATCAGATCATCACAAGAGGGACAGGTGCATATGTTCTCCGAGACATGGGGGTAAGATACTGCCAACTGACACAACTTCCGGGCTACTGAATCCTACTAATATTATAAATGCGACGGTATGTGTGGATATATGGATGCCTGGATGTATAAATGTATGGATGTTTGTTACTCTTTCACGCCAAAACTATTGAATGCATTTTAACGAAACTGTACAATAATATAGCTCATACATTAGAATAACACATTAGCTACTTTTTATCTCGGAAAAATGTACGGTTCCCGTGGGATAGATTTGTTTTTGTTTTTCTAGGCGCGAACCCTAGCGAAGCGAGCGTAGATATTTCGGTCCTACCCAGGACTTGAATCCACAATCACGATCTGTAGCCGTATATGCTCGCCACTGGATCAACGAAGCACTACATATTATAATAATATCAGCCCCAAAATATATTTTTCAGAATGCTCGATTTTAATAGCACTTACTAATATTAGTCAAATAATTTTTTTACATAAAACACATTAGAAAAAAAAAGCATTAAAACTATCAAATATATCACAGGTTTAAGCTCAATAATAACTACGAAATTATTTATTATATCTCTAATATATTTCGATTATTGGCTCTAAATTACTATTTCTAACAACCATTGTACCCTTCCAAAGACCTTTTATAACAGAATGACTCCTTTAAACATATAAAGCTCTTGCTTGAACTTTTCCATCTTTGATTTCCCCGGAGCCAAATGAACTTACTAAGTTTGATACGACTTTTTCTTGTTTCAAACATACATACATACATACTCGTAGTATTATATTTAAGTAAGTTACGTGGCGAAATGGCTGTTAAAACATTTTAAAATGATATATAATGTACTATAGTTTGAAATAATAATAATAACCTATACTAGTGAAAAAAGCTAAATGAAAATATATACTTTGGAGTGATCTTTGACATTTTTAACATAAAACAAATTATATTGTCATGAAAACGGCAGAAAAAAGTAGCCCACTTGAAATCGGAGTGGCGCACAGAAGGTTCCACACCACCGCACATAGCATGACTAACCTCCATATTCTAACTCATATATATACGAGGTTTTATAACTTGTTGCTTAACTTTGTTAGTTTAAGTTTAGTTGAAACTTGAATATATCACCCATTTAAAGATTGAGCAAAACCACATGTTTCTAATATACTATACTACGTTACGTATACTAGCTTTGTTTATTATTTATTAATATTTAATTAATAGAATGTCCGTGTATGTCTGTGTATTCAGCCCTTTTTAACGTCCCACTGCCGGGGGTGAGCCTCCCTTTAATACGAGGGGGATTAGGCCATAGTCCACCACGCTGACGGAAACATCAAAGGTGCAAGACTCGGGATTTGAACCCACTTCACATGGTTTCCCAAGCGAGCGCGTTACCACTGGACTTGACTGCCTAAAGAAAGTCTGCTTTATATTATTATTATATATTATTATTATTTATTATTAAAATTTAATTAATTAATTAATTATAATTATTTATTATTAAAGTATAGTTAGACAAAGTAGAAGCACAGATCATATAATACTATACCCGTAGATATAAGTAAGACAAAGGGACGAATAGGAAGATGGCAAAATCTTAGATAGATAGTCCGGTCTTATGTTAAAATAATGTCCAATTATTTTATATATTAAAAAATGATCGATAAAAATGAACTAAGAGATTTCTTTCGAAAACGCATTGCATTTAAAATAAACGGACAAAAATGTGCGTCATATTAATAAAAGAACACTACACCTTCACTTTCCCTACCCTTTCTCGATAAAAGGAACACACGTAACTGTAATGCCTTGGGCTAAAATCGAACCTCAACTTCTAACTTGTGTATATGTTTAGTAAATAAGGGGCAAAAGTCGTATACACATGAATGTACTATTTAAATATTTGCCCCGAGCGGAACTAGAATCCATGACCTCCAGCGCAGATACACACAATGATGGACAAACCTTATATACAAAAAAAATCGCTTACAAATACTTCTCAGGCTTGAAGCATTGGCAAAGTTTTTGGCTTGCAACAAAAGAATATATTATTATTTCTGTTCTAAATAAGAGGTATATAGATTATATTATTAATGTGTATTAATATATGTACATAATAACTAAATATAGATTTTAAATAATTTTAAAATAACTTTATTATTAAGAACTAAAAGAAAGTTTTCACTAACAATAAGATACAGTTCGGTTACTTAGGATTTACGAGTCACCGTCCTTCCAGCTTAAGCATTACAAAGAGATAAACCTATGGAATAGCCGAGGACTTATCTTGTAAAAGGTAAACGTACTTTACGTTACGTACGTTTCATAAATTGCTTTGTTTCTATTCCAACCTTCTAGCCGTCAAAACAAAGTATTTTCACCCATTTTCTATTAGCCCGTGATGACCTCCATACATTTTACTATGGGTGCGATGCCAATTTAAGGAAAAAATGAACTGCAGGTTAGATTCCTACCCATACAAAAACCTAGCAACAACATGACATGACGAAAAAAATATTCTTTAATATTTATTATACTTAGACAAATAAAATAAATTGAACAAAAATTTTATACGTCTCAAAGGCGTTATAATATACTTGCTACAGACGATGCCTACCCACAATTTTACAAAATGATTTCAAAAGTTCAAAAATGGCAACAAAGTACCTTACAATATTTGTTGGTTTTAATTCTAAACAATTTAAGTCTATTTAGTCTCTCTCGTGACCATGATTGCTGTAAAGCATTCGAAACGTCGCGTCGTCGGGAACTAAAAATCAAAATAAATCCGCGAATTAATCCGAAAAGATAGTTTTATTTTAAATTACTCTAATTGTTATTTTCTCAATCACAAATTCCACTTCCATACACGTAACATCTTTGTAAAACTCTGTGAAACGGTATTAACTTTTCACCAAAGCACTTTGGCCTATCGGTTTCATTTGAAGCCTTCCACCGCGCCGGTGTCAGAGGTCACCTTACGTTAGCGGTATTAAAAACGTTAACGTATTCCCCGAGGTAATGTCGAAGCGCAATTTTGATCCCGATGGGATTTCATTGGAACGCTTTATGTTTTGTTCTAAATATTACGTTTTAAAACTATTTTTATTCTGATTGAAATAGTAATTACTATCGATACAGAGGCCGAATGTATAATTTTTAGAATTTGGTCTGTCTGTCTGTGACCACATCACGAGAAAACTACTGGACAGATTTTGATGAAGTTTGGTATGATAATAGCTGATTATCCGGATCAACATATAGGATGCTTTTTACTGGGGGAGAATATCTTATCTCTTAATATAGGTACTCGTATATGTGTATTTAAATCTTAAACGTAATAATGGAATTCGTCATCCTTATATTGTGCTAGGAATCGGCAGAATGGAAGAACATTAATTTTGCTTCCATCTTTAAAGACACATTTGTATGAAATAATATATTAATATAGCGAGATATATTGTATGTTCTACAAGTAAAAAATGGATGAAAGTGGATAAAAATGGGTATATGTTTATAAAAACTATTGCCTAAGAAAATTCCTAGACTTTACTAAATTAATACATTCTAAAATGAAACTCATAACGAAGTTTTCAAATCAGATTTGCAGTTCTGGAGATTAGTCCGTTAAAACAAACAAAAGACAAAGATCTACAAATAATATAGAAAAAGTATTTTTGAAATATGAATTTTTCAATTATTATAATGTGAAACATATGATGCATTGAAATAAATATGAAATATAACTAGAATAATAAAGGTATGGCGTGTAGTGAATGACCTACTTCCGAAACTTTTCAAAGCCAATCGCTATTCAGAGTAGCGGTTAATGTTATATTCAAAGCTTTGCTCGTTTCGTTTAAATGAAAACTTTTATTTATTAAAAAATTTTATATTTATTAGAGGAAATTAATTATATATTATAGTAATGTAATAACCAGAGGAGGGATTTAAAATAAAAAATATTTTTATACCGTAAACCTGGTACGTACTCGTAAGTATGCGGATTTTTACACGATATAATTGAAAAAAAAAGCTTATGTTTAATACTTATTTTCATCTGAGCTTCGTTAGCGTGCGACCTCAATATAAAAGTAGTATCAAGAATAATTTCCATCCATCCAATCATCTTGTTTTTCTTATATTCTTATATAATATATATTCCAATATCGTATTAATCCCTCCACGACCACGGCGTTACAGTTAACATTAGAAATTTAATTAATTTCTTAGAAATTTACCTGAAGGTGTTAAAATCTTATAAATAAACTAACGACTTACCATCGCTTCGCTCGAGTGCATCCCTAGGTACGTTTTAAATAGATATAAATTGTTATTAGCCAGCGTTTGCCATATAAATTTTAATAGATTTTTTCGTGAACTTTTCCGATGTTTTAATAGTTATTTTGCTATTCGGGGTGAAGACAAATCTAACAAAACAAAGGTCATAAAAATCGGTCCAGACTCGACTTTGTTCTATATATATTAGATATAGATAAGATCTATACTAATATTATAAAGAGGTAAAGTTTGTGAATTGTGAGTTTGTGAATTTGTGACGTTGTAGGGGGTAATCTCTGGATCTACTGAATTGATTTAGATAAAATTTGAAGATAGTTTGAGACCCTGGGAAGGACATAGGATACTTTTTATCCCGAAAATCCTCCTTTATTTGGGAGAAAACGGGGATGAAAGTTTGTATGGGGAACCAAACTAGGGACGAACCCGAGCGAAGCAAGGGTGAGTCGCTAGTAATTTATAAATGCGAATGAATGACTGTCCCTTATTTCTTTTCGTTATAATTTGTAACGGTCCAACGAATTTAAAGGAAATAGAGAATGGAACTTATACCGGTTGAGCGGAGCCGGACGTAAAACTAGTTAAGCATACGGCTATCGTTTATTTAAAGATAAATTCAGTTGAACTACCAGTTATAACTTATATCCCAAATCTCGCCGGCTCTTCTCAGCAGAAATGCCTTCCGAGCCGGTGATAGATTCCTCACGGAATGAGTACACTGAGATTTTATTTAAATTTAAAATGTAAAAATGACGTTTCAAAAATGCTTGTAAAAATCTATTTGAATAAGTCATTTTTTTATTTGATTTGAAATAAATCATGTTTAATTATTATACTTAATTCTATGAACTAAATCGATACATATAATAAAATTCTGAGTCGAATCTGTAGATTAAATATAAGAAACTAGAGTTAAGATAAATATAGCTAAGCTACGCATGAAACAATAATTTTGCAAATATTCCTGTTAGTTTTAGGAATTAATTCAAACAAACAAACATAAAGCTAACAATCTATCCCTTCAGGTTTATAATATCAACATTCGTATATAATACTAAATACATATTCCAGTACTCACCAACATGTCGATATCGATCCACGACATCAACTAAAGTTTTCGCCCACGAGAACTTCTTAGACGCCTCTAACAAGCCTAGACAAGGGTCCAACCCCTCGTGGACCCTTAAACAGTACTCTGCCAGCCCCTCAAACTCGGAAGAACACTTCTTAGAATCAAAATCGTCTAAAAACCAGGAGTTCTCTTGAGCAGTCCACTGGAGCTCGTATAAAAACGGTTTTAATACGGGCCCGAGGTACTTTTTGTCTTCTTTGACTCCTGAAATTAAAATATGTGTGTGTATACTTTATATTTAATCATCGATCGAAAAAGTTGTAGATACACAATCAGCGACAAAAAATGTCCTCGCCGAATGAGCGCTCATTTGAACACTTGAGCGCGCTTTTAATATTTTTGTGTGATAACAACTTTATGCATTGCATTTAAGGTTCAATTTACATTGTTGTATATTTATATCAACTAGAATAATTACCTAAACACAATTGGTGACAGTTTTATGAGAACTTTTGCGAGAGATTGTATCTCTAGGAAGTACTTTTTTACACGTCTACGCGACGCAAAGGAGGCTAAAGTATATTTACTAGTCTATGTACGTACTATGTATGTTTGTTCCTATATGGCATTCTAGAGGTCAAAAGCGTGGGCCGATTTTGATTATTCATACGTCGTTAGATTCGACTTGATAACTTAATAAATGAGTGTTATTTATACATATAATAGTAAAATTGTAACTAAGTCGAATCTGTACATTAAACATTTTTTGAATAATCTTATTAAAATAGACATTATTATCGATACAGACAGAGGCCGAATCTATAGTTTTTAGAATTTTTGTCTGTCTCTCTGTTTGTCTGTTACCGCATCACGGGAAAGCCACTGGAGAGGTTTTGATGAAATTTGATATGATGATAGCTGGTTATCCGGGTCAACATATATAAGGATACTTTTTACTGCGGGAAAATATGTCATCTCTGAGAAATCTATACTAAACGCTTTAAGGTCAACATCCACTAAGGAAAGATTTTTAGTGTATTTTTAGGCATTCGCTAAGAAAACTTCATATACATATTTTCAGGTGCAAATAATGAAATGCAAAATACAAAAAAACTTAAAAAAAAAACTGACTTCAAACACACAAAAAATAATAATTTATAAAAATAAAAAACCCGACTGCGTAAAAAGCGTACTAAAAATATGAGAACAAGTACAAGACAACAAAAACAAAGATACGATAAATATCTAATTAGATTAGAGGCAGATTAAAAATTGATTTTCTTGGTTCGATTTGACTAACCATGTAAAGTTATAAGTGAATTTATTAAAAGTGTGTTGAAAAAAATAGGTCAGTACGGTATTTTTTAATTATATATAAAACCCGCGGATTCACTCGCGTTCAAACTTCCGATCGCTACCAAACTTCACAGAATCACCCGCTTGGCTAATCTGAAGATTGCCTGACAAATTCATCAAAATCCCTCCAGCCGTTTTGGAGTCAATAGGGAGCATACATACGACACATCGATTTTTATATATTTTTAGATATACATTTTTTTATAGATATCACTTGACATTATCAACCGACTTCAAAAAGGAGGAGGTTCTCAATTCGGTATATTTTTAACCCCCGACGCAAAAACGAAATGGTGTTTGTCGTCTCTGTGTGTGTGTGTGTGTGTGTGTCTGTCTGTGGCATCGTAGCTCCCGAACAGATAAACAGATTTTCATTTTGTTTTTTTTTTTGTTTGAAAGGTGAACTTATCGGGAGTGTTCTTAGCTATGTTTGATTAAAACAGCCCAAGATGGTCGGGGGTTTTTTAAATTTTTTTCTTTACTTCAATAAGAATCCTATAAAGTCTTACCACAAATTATAACGAAAAACTGACTATAATTAAAGTTAATTATACGTTAAATTACTAAACTAAATTACTTGTTATCCTAGTAGACAATTTAACTCGTGCTCTCTTAATTAAACGGCCCCATCTAGAGCTTGCGTCAAATAATTAGAAGGTAATATATTTGGTAATAATTATACCACCTTAATATATAATTATAGATCGATTGGCGTGTCGCTTTCATGTTTAATTAATGTCTAATCAGAGATCATTGATGGAGGTTTTAATCCCGGAGTATAATTTTATACTATACTAGCATTGCCTGTTACCGCATCACAGAAAAACCACTGGAGGGATTTTGATGAAATTTAGTATGATAGCTGGTTATCCTGGTCATCATATAGGATACTTTTTACCGCGGGAAAATATATCATTTCTGAGAAAAAATACTAAAACTGCATTGTAAAAGTATACTAATATGTAAAACCTAAGAGTTTGGTTTTTGGTCATCTGAACGCGGCCGGAGCCGCGGGCAATGCTAGTATACCATGTAAGTCATTTTTTAAATCGGTCAAAAATAAATATTAATTTACCTAAAAGACGTGGAAAAAAGATAAGAAATAAAACTATATAAAACTTACCTTTATGCAACCAGAGTAGCACATTCTTCATGACGTTAGTATGGTCGGCTAAGTCCTCGCGGCGAAGGTCGGGGTCGCGCCGCGCCGCGTCTATGAGGCAGGCGGACGACGCGTCGTAGTAGTCCTTTAGTTTGTTCCATTTTTTACTCCTTTTGTGAATTGAAGTATTCAAACATTATATTCTAACGACGAGCTGTATTACTTCAGCACATAGTTTATCTGTGTCATCGTCAGACTAAAGATATATCGACGAAACCCACCAAAAAATTGTTAATATCAAAAATAGTAGCTTGTTTTACTGTTTGTGCTACTATTCTCAATTTTGCCATACAGATCATTTAAAAGAAAGGAAGCTATTATATTATGATATTAGCTAATACTATTTCTTATTTTTTTATCAAAATAAAATCCGTTAGCTATTTTTATTTAATAACATTAATTTATTTATCAAAAGCATTAAGATTTATTATTTTGAAACGTTGTTTGACTTCATGTTCAGTTCTATGACACTATGTAGTCTATATTATTCCTAAGTCTGAGATTTCGTTTGAAGCTTGAAAATGTAACAAACATATAAATATTCGCATTTATATGTAAATTAATAATGAGTTTAATATGACTTTGCATTGTAAGTATCCCACGTGAACGTGATATTCGGAGGAGCGGGATGACAAGATAATGTTCTATCGTGAGTGAGAACTATAGAGCGATAGATACTCAACTTATTTAATCCACTATAAATTATGTAAACAACCAATCGATAAATGAAATTCGGTAACTGAAGAAATAAAAAATAATTAACTAGCACATTTTTAGAAAAATGGAAAACATTTTCAAATTACTTATTTACATTTTTCAAAAATTAATAATTAAAAAAAATAACTTTATCCATTTGAAAAAATGCAAATACAAATGCAAAATTTCGATAATGGGACGGCATTTCACACAGGGCGGCGCTAAGGTTGGATCCGCCGCTGAGGCTCCCTAACAAAACAAAAACCCTACAAAAATAGTGAGCTGTTTTGAGATAAATAGCAATATGTGTGCAAAACATGTTTAAAAAAAATATTATCGAGTTTTTCACCAATCGTGTTTTTAAAGGCAATTCAAGATAAAAGTCCGGAGTATCATTTTCCTAAATATCAAAGTGATAACTTTCACAGATTCTGAGATAAATACCCATTTTTCCTACCTTCTGAGATAAATTCGAATTTAGGTACAAAAATACCATAATATGCACACTCTTAATTTAGCGGTACAGAATGTCTCTTATGAAGTTTTACATGTATTCAGCCCTTTTCAACGTCCCACTGCTTCGCACGGGCGTCCCTTCAATACTATGGGGACCAGGCCATAGTCCACCACGCAGGCCAGTGTGGGTTGTCAGACTTCACATGTCTTTCGAAAACTTGCTAGGCTCTCTCAGACATACAGGTTTCCTCACGATGCTTTCCTTCACCGTACGGCAAGTAGGTAATCATGTTAAAAATGATTCGGACATGAAAATATCAGAGGTGCGAGACCCGGGATTTGAACCCGCTCCACTCGGTTTTTCAAGCGAGCGCGTTACCGCTGAGCTACCACTGCCTTAAAAGTTAGTATGTTATACATACTTATTTGATTTTATGCGAATTAGTGATGAAAGGAGAATAAATTAATAAACAAATTTTTCGATATCTTGTTTACAACAATCATCACAAATAAAAATAAACGTAACTACAGATATAACATTAAAAAATATATTTTAAAACATCTTACTTTTATACTTTTAGGCTTTAAAGGCAAAAAAAAGAAAATATAAAAGGATGGTAACCGGTCCAGGTGAGGCCCCGGCGAGATTCGAACTCGCGATCTCCTGTTTACTAGACAGGCGCTTTAACCATCTAAGCCACGGCGCCTACGAAAATAGTTGCGAATTTTTGATATTTATTTGCATGGTTATACGAGTATAATAATTATTATTAATTGTAAATTTTATGTATTTAAATAAAAATGAAATGCTGTTTGTTGGTAAACGTATCATTGAAGGTCGAATGGATGGAAGATATTTTTTATTTTAAAATGTTCGTAATATGCCTTATATATGAAAGTTTCATAGACGGGGAAAATTGAATTTTAGGTTTAAGTTTTTGAATGTCACTAACAAAATTGTTTAAAATAACATTACTGTCGGGTTAACTAGTTTTATCATTTTTTTATAATTTATAAATTATATCTATCTTGATGTGTAAGAAGTGCGCTCGTAATTAATTATTTCTTATTAAACATGTTATCTTTATCATTATATTCTTATCTTATTAGTTATATTATTACACTCATACACACATATGCACGCTAATTTTTATTACTAAATAAATTTAAAAGACTATTATATTGTACCTATTATTTTCATCTATATTAACTTATCCATTTAAAAGTTTGTTGTTGTATTTAATTTACCTTGTATAATTGGCATTATTAAATAAAACTATCTTTTCGGATTATTTCGCGGATTTATTTTGATTTTTGGTTCCCGACGTTTCGAATGCTTTACAGCATCCATGGTCACGGGAGAGACTGAGACTTTATTTAATAATGTCAAACATTCGCGTAAATCTAAGAAAGTATTGTATAATTGGATTAAGGATCCAATCTATACGTTTTGTTTATGAAAGGGCGGGGTCTCCTAATACAGGCAAAAATTACTTGCTTAAAAGGGGACCTCAACCACAAACTTTGTCAGCACTATAATCTCTTTATGCAAATAAAAAAAAATATTTTTTATTACGACGTGATCTGTGCCGTGTCTGTTACGTTCCCGGATATACCTTGTAAGACTCTCATGGCCGATTTCACCAACGTAACCTAAGTTTAAGGGATCCCCTAAGCATGGTTAGGGGGCTGTTAGGGAACAGTTTATGTTTCACCCACAGTTAGAGGTCACCTAAATTTTAAAATGCCACCTAAATATAGGTACTAGAAATACGGGCTCTGACGATGGTAAAACGAAATTTAATTTAGGGACTAGTTTAAGGGAACTTTTAAGCTAGGGATCTGTAGGAGGTAGCTTAAGTGATGTTGGTGAAATCGGGCATCAGACTACTATCTAACTTTAGGAAGGAGAAGAAAAATACTATATTAAGTTAAGTCGGTTAAAAAGTACAGATTTTGTTGAGTTTTTGTGAGTTTTGATTAAATATTTAACAAATTTTGTGCTTGAATGTTTCCATAGTAACTAGTGTTTGCATAATAATAGGACGGTGCCTAGCGTCAGTTGATAATAGACGCTCTTCGATACGTGAAGTATTTGCAATAGATCACTTAGATAACATGTTATGACGAGCGTATGGCCTGATTATCGAATTTTAGAGTTCAAACTTTAAATCTTCTTACCACTAGCAAATATACCTATATAACGATAATAATAAATAAAATAACATATCGATAATAAATAAAATACCAGAGAGAACCTAGCAAGTTTTCGAAAGACATGTGAAGTCCGCCAACCCGCACGTAACCAGCGTGGTGGACTATGGCCTGATCCCCCTCGTATTGAAGGGAGGTCCGCGCCCAGCAATGGGACGTTAAAAAAGGGCTGAATACAAATAATTATCATTCTTTCCAAGAAAATTCAAGAAACTCTATTATTGGCTTCTAATACATCCCAAATAAATCCCAAGCTCCAGAAATAGTTTATTTAGCTTTAGCTAATACATAAGAAATTCAAATATTTATAAAATGTATGTATTTAAAGTTATATATGTGTAGTATAACAACTATCTATATATAATATATATAAATAGTGCTGTGTGTTAATGTACCAAAAAAACCAGAAATGCCACTCCTCTAAATCTACATACCTATAATTGGAGAGATCCTTATCTTCCCCCAGGGTCTGATTCAGGTTGTGGAGGTAGAGGTCGCGCGCCTGATCCAGCATGATCGCGAGGATGTGGATCAGATCCTCGACGTGCTCTTGTTGATAGCACGTCGCTTGTATGAGGTTTGTGCGGAATGTGCTTTGCTGGTCCTTGGTGTGAGGCAAATATCACTCATTTTGTAAATAAAGTAGTAAATGTACACTTATATAAAGGGGTATTTAATAGGAAATACGCGTGTTTTTTTATGTAATAGTTTACATGGTTATATAAATGTAAAAAATATCCATAAAGCAAATTAAAAATATCATACCGATACGGGTACGTTAAAACATATTAATACTAGCGACTCACCCTCGCTTCGCTCGGGTTCGTCCCTAGTGAAAATTTAGATTTGTATGTATTTTTTAATGCCGAATCATAACATTTTTTTTTTGGGGTGGACCACCCTTATCACTTAGGGGTATGGAAAATAGATAGTAGCCGATTCTCAGACCTACTGAATACGCACATAAAATTTGGTAAAAATCGGTAAAGCCGTTTCGGAGGAGTACGGTAACAAACATTGTGACATGGAAATTTTATATATAAGATAAGCTTAATTCAAGAAAAAAAGGTTATAGAAAAATTTCACTTTTATTTAAATCAAACGCATATTCCCTATTCGATTTCGAAGAAAGGCCTGTTATATAAATTAGATTTTTTGTCAAATAAAGTCACAGTACTAACCTAATTCGAGAAGTCCACGATGTTACAACGGCTGAGACAGATCATGTAAATAGGTATACGCTTTTGCGGTTAGTCTTTAAGTCCAAAAGGTCAAATTGTCGTCCCATAGGACTATAAAGGGAATAGAGAGTACACGTTGTGAATAGTGCACACGCCACACACGCACTGTTGTTTAAAAACTTGCAATACTAGTCTAAGTGAAATGGGCAGCCGTTATTAACATAAAAAAATTATGTTTTTGGAATAATTCGCAGATTTATTTTGATTTTTTGTTCCCGATGTTTCGCATGCTTTACACCAATCATGGTCATGGGAGAGAGTAAGGTTTTAGACGTTTCAAAGGCGTTAAATATGTATGTACTTGTTACAGACAGAGCCTACCCACAATTTTACTAAAATGATTTCAAAAATTCAAATATGGCCTTTGAGACGTCCTTAGTCTCTCCCGTGACCATGATTGCTGTAAAGCATTCGAAACGTCGGGAACTAGAAATCAAAATAAATCCGCGAAATAATCCGAAAAGATAGTTTTTATTTAAAATGTTAAATAGTCGCTTAAATCTAAGAAAGTACTAACAAAATGTACATACATACGTCTCAGTAAGTACGTTCTTTAAGAAAGACAAAAAATAACAAACACTCACATAAGCCACCATATTCTTGCAAGCCAGCAGTTCCCTGGTCACTCTGCTCAGATAACGCAAAGGGCCTCGCGGGAGGCCCCCCGTCGAACCGGCCTTACTGCCCCCGAGGCCCCTCATGCACGCCTCCCACTTGCTAAACAGGGCCCCCTCGAGCCGCTCAGCAGGGGACTGGAGGATATCCTCGCCAACTGCAAACAGAGCTTTATCGTCTGTTATAATCTATTGTATATTTGTTAATTTTTTTTTTCGATCAGTATGTATGTTTGCAACTGGTTATTTAATAAGGGTTAAACTTAAGTCCGAGTCCCAAGTTGGACAAAACAATGTCCTATTAAGAATACTCCAGTAGAATAGTCACGTCGAACCTTTATCTATTGACATTTTATACTTAACCGTACCAATGAACAATAACATTGAGGATTAGAGAATACATTTATGCTTGCGCACAAATAAATAGCGCCGCGACACCACCAATATGAAACCCCAAAACTACCCTCGTGTACGTGCGACACGATAGAGACATCATCAGATTATTATAATTGTGTAAGTTTGTTTGTTAATCTTTCACGTAAAAGCTACCGAATGGATTTTAATGAAACTTTACAATAATATAGATCAGTATACCCCATAGGCTACTTTTTATTCCGGAAAGATGCACGGTTCCCATGGGATAGATTTGTTTTTGTTTTTTTTTTGATATTTATAAGTTCAAAATGCTAACTAACCAGCAATCCTATGCAGATACAGCAGGCAGTTGGTGACGGCCGCGGCGTCGCCTCGCCACGAGGCCGCGCGGGCCCCGCGCCGCGCCACCGCGTCGCGCCCGACGCCCCACACGAGCCCCGCCGGCGCCGCGCCCGTGCACACGTGTAGCACACTGTGTTATATTGAAAACATCAAATATTACGTTTTTCGTAAAATACCTTCAATTTTTAACTACGGAAATAATGATGACATGTCAGTTCTGATGATAAAATGCATGCATGTTATGTGTAGATTATTAGGCAGTGGTAGCCCAGTGGTAACGCGCTCGCTTGGGAAACCGAGTGAATCGGGTTCAAATCCAGGGTCTCGCACCTCTGATATTTTCATGTGCGAATATTTTCTAACATGATTACCACTTACCTTACGGTGAAGGAAAACATCATGAGGAAACCTGCATGACTGAGAGAACCTAGCAAGTTTTCGAGAGACATTTGAAGTCCGCCAACCCACACTTGGCATACATGGTGGACTATGGCCTGCTCCTCGTCGTATTGAAGGGAGGCCCGTGCCCAGCAGTGGGACGTTAAAAAGGATTGAATACAATACAATACAAATATTATATTTTTAAATAAACACAACTCACTTATCCAGCACTAACAACAGATGATGGGCGACATGCGCGGAGCCACAGAAGCGCGCGACGCTGCGGAGGGACGCACAGCGCTCTAAGCGCCGTCGGAAACTACACCACACCATGTACCTGCTTAGTAACTGTGCTGAACCCTGTTGAGATACGCGTTGCTCATATCATGTTTCCATTTATATAAAAACACATGTATATAACATTTAAATAATCAATTATTTCCCATCTGTTAAACCAAATTAATTTTTTGGGAAAATTATATTATTAATTTACAAGTTTCTAGGTCATTTTTAGGGTTCCGTACCTCAAAAGGTAAAAAAGGAACCCTTATAAGATCACTCTCTTGGCCGTCTGTCCGTCTGTCTGTCCGTGTGTCACCACCGATTTCCTCAGGAACCGGTGGACCTAGCAAGTTGAAATTTATACAAAATACTGAGTTCTGTAGTCCCTATTAGGTGTATAAAAATCAAGGTCCTGAGTCAACACGATAAAAGGATATGGACAAATTTATATTTTCGCGAAAATTTGTAAGTACCAACATTTACGTTAATTTTCAACTTTATTTTTCGGATTTTTTATTCTAAGAATAATCGCGTCATTTCACCTGTGTAAGTCATACGTACATTACGTCATTTTCATTTCCAACTCTCCATTGAAGCCTAAACTTCCGAACCTGCCTACTGAATATGCTTAAGAACGTTAATAACGAACAATCACAAAAAGTCGTTTCCAATAATGGATTCCGCAAATTGCTTTTATAGCCGAAGAATACCCTAATAATAAACCTGTAGGTACTACTTATTCTATACCTAGATTCAACTTACCTCAAAACATCCTTCCCTCATCTTATCGACCAAGCTGTTCAGGGCTCCAGCAATCCTGCCCACTGAGGAATCATTAGAGCAATGTGCATCTAAAGTGGCTTCCAGCGCCGGGTGCCATAACTGCCATGTTGCTGTGCGTTCCGTTGTTAAGATTGAAGAAGGAGGACCTATGGCTACTGCATAATAGCCCTGGGTTGAATTAAAATAAATTACAATAATATAAAAAGTAACTGCCTCAATGGCCTAGTGGCTAGCATGTATGACTGCAAATATGAGAGATGCTAGGTTCGAGCCCGAATTGGGCAAAGTACAGTTATTGAGTTTTTCTGTCAAGCAATTCTTAATAACAGCCTAAATTTGGAAAGTTAGTGGTATTTCTGACCACGTCGAATTGATGCCCCGTCGGATTTTGAGGATCATACGAATAGAGCATGCACGTTATATTTTCGGGCATTCGGTGTTGGATCATCGTGGCCCAAAATCAGTTAGGAACATATTATTATTATTACCATAATATTGTTATTACTTTTCATATTTAAAAAAAAATATTAGTATTGTTTTGAATATTGAAAAATGGTTGAATAATTACCAATCGCCTTATAGCAAAGGAACACATCCCTAAGGAAACATGCCTGTCTGAGAGAACCCAAATAGTTATAGAAAAATGTGAAATCCGCCAACACGCACTTGGCCCGCGTGATGGACTATGGCCCATGCCCAACAATTAATTTGATTTAATTACGATAATTCGATAATTCTTTATAAACTCATCTCATAATATGCACAAAAAACAGGAGAGGGCTGTACATTCTATTTTTACAATTCAATAATGATCAGAATATATTTTATTATCTTTTTAATAAGTATTTAATTAATATTGAAACGGAATTTGCTATTTTGTTATCTCTTTACTTTATAATTTATGAAAGTGTAAATTAGACACCACCCACGTCTTGGACACCGAGTGCATCTACATTCTACACTCACTTTACCACTGTATACACCTACGCTTCGATATCACTTAATTAGCTTGATATAAAATAAATTGAAATTGTTCCTAAACAAATATTAATCGATTGGAATCGTAAAAATAAAATAAATTGATATTTTTTAGGACTTTTTTATTTATTAAAACATTTAGGGCCAGGACAAACATATTATAGAAAATCATCAATCATATCACTATTCTCATCAATCTTTCAAAATTTCTAAAGAAAGACATCTTAATATATATAATTCTTCTGTACGTGTGTTTGTTACTAACCTACTCCTCCTAAAGAACTGGACCGATTTGGATGAAACTTTGTGTGTATATATCAATGGGATCCTGCAAGATTTGAATTCACAAATGGATCCGGTAAGTGGCGCTGCAGTCGGTTTGTCACTAAATTTTTATAAAAGACTCCATTTTCCGACCAATAAATAAATTTAATTTGTTGATTAAATTAAATAAAAATCAACGTGTGTATGTATGTTTCGTATGGACTCCAAAACAGCTGGAGCGATTTTGATGAAATTTTCAGGTGATCTTCAGATTAGCACCGCGGGTGATCCTGTGAATTTTTTCAGCGATCGGAAGTTTGAACACGGGCGAAGCCGCGGGTACTGCTAGTCAAGTATAAAAATCTAAAAATGTACACATATTTCCATATAAAAAGATCAATATATCAATCAATATACAAATAAAGATGGTATACGATATCTATGCATACACAAAGTATAAATTAACAAAAAGAATACATACAGTTTGAGCCGCAGTATAATGCAACAAGGCGAGAGGATGCGTGAGGGGCACCCTGGTGGTGTAGGCGTGCGCGCCGACGCCCGCCGCCGCCGCGCCCAGCGCCAGCTTGGCCTCCGCCTCGCCCGCGCCCACGCGCACCATCACCCACGACGCGCCCTCCACTATGGCCAGCCTACGCTCTGGGCTAGACCTGTGTGACGCTGCATACAATGGAACCTCAAAGTTATTATATACCTGTTACGAACGGATGTTATGCTATAAAGCATTAGAAACGTCTGGAAAAAACCAGAATAAACCCGCAGAAAAATCAGAAAAGATGTTTATTTAAAAAGTCAAATATTTTTAAGTCTTATGAAACCATTATGGAATATCAATTACGTATTATAAGACATTGACACGATGGAAAATTACTATTTTTTATCAAAAAAAACGTGTATGTGTACTTATGTATGCACATAAGAAGTTATAAGTACTTCTTTGGCGTAACAGAACAAAAACAGCTAGATTTGATCCCGTAAATGAAAGGAATGATAAATTAATGAAATAATTAAATAAGGCATATTACAATCATTTGTTTATAGCATATCACTAAAGGAAAGAATATAATAATTTATAAATAATTTGTCAGACAATAACAACGGCTACCATAGCAACAAACAGTTATCAGTTAACTTCATCATGTCGCTTTTTGGCTGTCGGAGTGCGCGCGCATCGTAAAAATTTACTCTCATAATTCTTTCCTAACGTCCCAAAAGAAGTATATTTCTTAGAAAATTACCATCATAATGGTACAGTAGAGACTCGATTATCCGGCCCTCTATTATAGGGATTCGCGATTATCCGGACTACCCATGTCGACGTACCCACCCTCGCCCTGCGCGTTCGCTGTTGCCGCGTTTTTGTTTCAGATATAGTTACCAATCATTACTTGTCACGTTTGTGCTTAAAAATGTCAAAGCGTTAGAGAGTGGTGTTATCGTTTAAAGATAAAATAAATGTTGATTTGTCTTTAGTTGATTTTAATATGTAATATGTACGAAAATCGTTTCTTTTTTCATACATTCGATTATCCGGATTTTCGATTATCCGAATGCCTACCGACAACAATTAGCCCGGATAATCGAGTTTCTACTGTTAGATCATCCATTATTCTTGAATAGAACTCTCGTTAAGTGTCGTCCAAATTGGCTCTATCAATTTCAAGGTTAACCTATTTTGTCAGTTTGTCAGTTTGTTTTCTTTTCACATAGTAAAGGATAGAAATAATTTTTCATAGAACATAGTTTAAAGAAAGATGAGAGGCTGCTTTTTGTTCAAATTAAATAATTACTTGGCATATTAGCATATTCCAATAATTATGTTACAATACATAATTTCAAAATCGTTTGTAACAATCCTATAAATATAACGTACAAACAAATCTATCCCACGAGAACCGTACATTTTTCCGGGATAAAAGTAGTCTGTTGTTTTGATGTATGACCTATATTATTATAAAGTTTCATTAAAATCAAAACGAAACAAGAGAAACAAACATCCATACATCTATACATCCAGACATCCGTACATCCTCACAAACTCGCATTTATATTATATTCATTATAAAAATTATAAAATAAAAACTTTTTAACAAAAAAATAAAAACTGACTTCAAACAAAAGCACTAAAAAGTAAAAAATAACTGATTGGTAGTTTTCATTTACTATACATACCCAATCAAATATTTTCGAAAGCGGTGTGCTTTGCTTTGTATCGGCTGGCACCGGACTATCAACGGAAATAGAAACACTTGCAAAGTTACAAGTCAATATGACAATTAGAAGTAGGTTAAATTCATCATTAGCTATTTTTCCACCCTTAGGGGTGGTATTTTTTTTTTTTGAAATTTAAATGGAACCAATCTGGAAGTATACACTTTCAAACAACACAAAAATTGTCCAAATCGGTTAATAAATGACGGAGTTTTGAGGTAACAAACATTAAAAAAAATACAGCCGAATTGAGAACCTCCTCCTTTTTGAGGAAGTCGGTTGAAAAATATAGAGCAAATACCGCATATCGCTTAAAGCAATAAGGAGAAAAAAACTTACGTCAAAAATCATTACCTCATTTATTCATGTCGGTCAAAATGTAATGTTGGGTCTATGGAACTAGTATTATGTAACATTATTTTGAGGGTTCAAAAAACAAATTCAATTTCAATAGTCGATATAGCTACAACAAAATAAAAAACATTTAGGATATACCGACCACATGACGAACCACTTAAGATACGTCATAAATGTATTTTTTTTAATTTTCTATGGCCATGTAAAACTTCATCTAATCTAATTATAATTTCTAGAATAGAGTCTAGACCGTAACTTTTATAGCCCATACAAATAATTAATTTAATATAGGTTAAAACTTTTTTAATTCTACGAAGCTTATAACGGACCACACATATTTTTACTTCACTTATTATAAACATGATCATAAAAAAGATAAAAATTCAACACAATGCTAAACTAGATATGACGCAGATGCAGGTAATGCATCGCGTACTTTGTTTGAACCAACTCCGTTATAACTGGGACATTTCGAGATTTAAATGGATTTGTTATAAAACTTTGAACCGATTTGATTTGAAAATTTTGTGTGTAAAACCATGTTTTTGAATTTTTATACTACGATAGTTAAAAGAAAAATTTGAATGTTTTCGTCTATTGAATATGCTTTTAATTTATACTCGTAGATTCTTGTAGAAGCTAATATTTTTGTGTATACCTCTATACAAGTTCCACCTTTCGATAATAATGTTCAGACACAATTACTTATTCTGACGTGTAATTTCATTTAAAAATATATATTACTAGCTATTCGCCCTCGCTTCGCTCGGGTTCGCCCTTAGTGAAAAACGATAATAAATCTATCCCACGGGAACCGTACATTTTTCAGGGATAAAGAGTGACCTGTGTACTATTCTAGACTATAATCTATCTCTGTGCCAAACATCCAGATCCGTTCAGTCGTTCTGGCGTGATTGAATAACAAACATTCGTCCATCCAAACGTTCGCATTTATAATACATATATTAGATAATGGTACGGGATAGATCTGTTTCATTCATTTTTCTGATAATTTTGAAATAAAATACTTTGAAAGTATAAATGTTTATGAAAAAACATTAACATAATAAAAATGTCAGTACATTTACTCAGCTTTACAACTTACTGTCTAATGTAGACAAATATATAATACTACAAGCTCACCCCGTTCCAAGTAGCAGTATGTGTAAGGGCGGGCGGCGGAGGCCGCGCGGGCGCCAAGCGCGCGTGACGCGCCGCCGCCGCGCGCCGCCGCGCACCGCGCGATCAGCTCCACCCATCGCTCTAACACTTTATCCCTGAGATGTTTATTGTTTTGGTTTATACTTTGTATTTTATTGAAATTTGATTGTTTAAAACGTTTTTATAAATCATTAAAAAGAAGATTATTCTTCTATGTAAGTACTTACTTTAAAACACTTCAAGAAGTCAGAAGGAAAGGGTGTGTTAAATATAAATAATCTTTACGCAGTACGAGACAAGTAGAATTTTTTTGCCAGCGTTTGTAAAGACTTCAAAGTTCAAATTTTATTTTGGGCAAAGGATACAAAATATTTACAATAAAAATTATTTCTATGACCTGGTACCTATCTAAAAACTTGATGCTGATACAAGACTTAATATCAGACTTTTAAGCAAAGATGTGCAATTTTATTGATTATTAACTTCTCTTAAGTTAATCTCTATTTGAATGAACTAAAAGTAATATAAAACTTAAAAAACAATAGGTAACTCAGGAAATATGAAATATCAAAATAAACTCCAAATGCCAATAAAATTTTCAAGCTAAACTCACAATGTTTTGTTTTCGTAATGACTTAAAAATCATTAAAAAAACAAAATCTGTATAACTGCATAGATAATTAGATTCTAAGATATTTAGATTTTACATAACATGTAATAAAAATTACCTGCACAAATACCCAGAAGGAGTTAAGAACTCCGCCCACTTGTCCGCTTCTCGACCAGACAATTTGATCTTTCCATATCCCACGGGACCTTCTTCCAAACAGCAGTCGTCATTGTCAGAGTTGAGCGTCGGGAGAGAGTCTATGGTCACTAGGTATTCCAATGATCTAGACCGCATCTGTTATACACGCAAGACCCTAAAGTCTGAGCGAATCGAGATGCTAGTTTATTATAATTTAATTATTTAATTTTATCTATACTAATATTATGAAGTGGTATTTGAGGTTGTGAGATGAGTTTGTGAGGTTATATGGGGTAATCTCTGGATCTACTAAACCGATTTAGATGAAATTTGGTAAGAAGATAGTTTGAGACCCTGGGAAGGACGTAGGATTTATTATCCCGGAAATTATCCCTTAAGGGGGTGAAAATGGGGATAAAAATTTGTATTGGAAGGCAAGCAAGTATTAATTAAAACTATATTTTGAGATTATTTCGTGGACTTATTTTGATTTTTGGATCCCCGAAAACTATAGTTTCATTTAATATGTAAAATATTCGCGTAAATCAAATAAAGTATCGTTTAATCTTACTTCGTATTTTTTTTTATCGTATTATTGTAATTTTTGGTAAAATCAGATTTCTAGTTTTGGTTTTAGGTATGTCTTTAATATAGGTGCTTATTAATATTAAGTAGTTTACAGTGGAATATAAATAAAGCTTTTTGTAAGTGTGTAAATTTAGGGTATCCATAACCGGGAATCGGGATTGATGATTGCGTAAATTAAGGTAATCTCTATAAGTACTCTAATTAATTAAATTACTTGAACTGATAAAATAAACTTGACATGATTTAATTATTATAATTTTTTACAAATTCTAGAAATGCATGTGGTAGATTATTTATAAAAATCGAACAAGTCCGAATCTGACGCACGTTGTGTTTTTGCGATAACTTAGAAGTTTTTTTTCACGACTTTAATGCATTGATATATTGATTATATTCAATGGATTGCAGACCAGACTCTTTGTCATTAATTTCAAACTTGATACCTCCTCCTCCTCGTGTTCCTGAGAAAAAGGGTCATGACAAACAGACGGACAACAAAGTAATTCTATAAAGGTTAATTTTTTTGTTTTAAAATACGGAAGCCTAAAAAGTTAAGAACCTTCTTTTCTCTGTGCAACGCAATGAGATGACAGCATCTGAATCTAGGATCTCGCTGTCCAGCGCCATCCACTATTCGCTGCACCAGATTTTCCACCGCGCACTCGGTTTCCACTGACATACGACCTGTACATACAACATAACTATGCATTTTCAATATATAAAATAGAAATGTACCTAAATGTAGGCATATTTACAAAATTACAAATCTCTATAACTTTCTCACAGATTTCTTTTAAGTGTTTATAATTTATATATAGTGAAATTTTTGTGCTATTTGCATATACATATAAAACACATTTGAACGCGGATGAAGCGCGTGCAAAGGTAATGTATAGATCATCTAACGGTACGTAAAATAAACCGAGAAACAATAACACCTCCAGGTAAATTTCTAAGAAATTAATTAAAATTCTAAGAAATCTATTGTTAATAACTGACACGCTGGCGTATCCGCGGTCGTAGAGGAATTATTAATAACGAATGCAAAAAGCCAACGCCACGCGGTGTTCCCAGGCAGTCACCCATCCAAGTACTGATCGCGCCCGACCTTCGGTGATCGGACGAGAACCCGTGTATTCAACGTGGTATAGACGTTCGCGACAAGATTTGTAAATAGCATATAATCATAAAACAAACATTCAACATAATATATTATGGAAAATAATATCTTTATTACATTCAAATGTGTGCTCAAACTTATAAAACTAAGTTATTAATAATGTACAGGGGCGGGCGGTAGATTTTCCTAGTATGATAGAAATATACTTAATTTTCATTAGAGTTTCGTAGCTAAAAGGCACTAAGTACAAGATTAATACTATATATTATATGACTAAGAAATAAAAATGCCGCTCCTACTGTGTGCCGCCTTATGCGGCCGTATATTTTCATCTAAACACCGCACGGCCCTGATAATCTACATAACAATAACATCAGCGACATCATTCTATTTATTATAATGATCAAGAAAATTACCACTATATGACCTGCTAAACCTCAAATAATGAAAATCTAGTACTAACCATTCTGATCTTCTTCATACAACGTGTCCACATAAGAGTTAAGAGATCGCACTTGTTGAGCGGAGAAGCGCAAGCCTGAAGTCTGTAGACGCAGATCTGCCCCTGGCGTGTCACCAGCCAGGGCAGATGCGGCTGACCCCATTACTGCAATAACATGAAAATTATAGTATTTAATTTTCATTTTACTATCCTATCCTATTGAAATCTATAAAATAAGTAAGTAAAAACGGAACACCATTCTACTGACTAATTATTTATGAAATCTCAAAAAATAAGCTCTTAATAAGCTCTTCTCTTTTTGGTCATAAAATTTAGTCAAATAATATTTTTTGTAATGAAGAGGTCCGATGAAAAAGATTTTTAAAAAACATCCTAAAGGCATATCATTGACTATACTCATACTTCAGACATCATTTTATTTTGATGTTCATTTCTTGACCTTCAGCAATGTATGACCAAATAAAGAACTACTTATTTTATTTTAATTTTACGTCCGTACTCATGAGTTTAGAACAGATAATAAACAGAAAGTTAGTAGAAGTATGTAGTATACGTCGTAGTTATATATATAGGTATATATACGTACGTACATTTAAAATTTCGAATAATACTGATGAAGTAGGTTTGTATGCGTATGTTTTGAATTTGTTTCATTGATTTCGTCGGTTATTATTTAATACCTACACCCATTATCCACGCTAACGCACAATATCGGTAAAATCAAAATAGCGCTGATTGTCCAGCTTCCGGCGGAAGCGTCATTATGTGTCGCCGGTCATGCGCAGGTGACCGTGAATGATCTCCCATTTATTTACATGATTACTTTCAGAATTAATGTTGATGTTATAAAAAAGTTTAATAGTGCGTAAATTAGCATTACTTAGCAAGTAAATTTTTCATAAATAAAACTTACCTACATTAAATATTTCTTACCTAGGTATCATCAATATTACATAAGTCAGTACATAAAAAAAATCAAATCATTATCTTAAATCTTTACTCAGTAATCAGTGTAATTAATGGTTTTTACTTAATCTACAAAAATTTCAATACGTCACCTAGACCGATATGTAGGATATACAAAAACTCAAGATAAACAATAAGTTTCTCAAAAATGTCCTCAAAAAGAAGTGCGAAACTCGAATTTGAATTGCGCTTTTTTCGAATTTCTTTTGTTGTTAACAAGTAGGTACTTACTTGGTGTGTTTAAGTTCGAATTTGTGCTTAGACAATTAGAACTTGCAATTTTTTTATTTTATCTTTGGTTTGACCTAACGTTCATGAGAACTTTTTAAAGAGATATTTGTTAGGAAATGTGGATCTATGTTTTTATATATCAATAAAATACTCAATATATTTTCAAAAAACGGACACAATTATGTATGAATCTAATGATTGCATTACAGAGTGTTCCAGAAACTTGTATAATTAGGTCAAAGAGGAGAAAAAAAACATCTAGTCGCAACACACTTTTGGAAAATATTTGATTTCCATAAAAAAAATTCATCATGATATGAACATAATTAGGGTCAACGACGATAGCTTCACAAGTACTTTTTTGTCTGTATTACTTAAGAACATAATAAACTCATGGGAAAACCAGTTCAAGGCCTGTAATACTTGTAAATGTGACAACGACAATGCTTACTTTAAATTTATATTAACTTGTCGACCATTTTAACCTTCGTATATATTATACTTTGCAATTTAAGAATTATGACTTTAGATTTTAACAAATTACTGTAACGAATTATATGTATATTTCGGTACAATTAATTAGTACAAAACCTACAATTGCCGCTGCAATGACATGTCATTTATACCGTATTGTTGAACAGAAGGCCGCGGCTCACTCGTGTGTGACGCGCCTAATTTGCCATCAAAATAATTATGCAACAATGAATTACACAGATTTAAAAACATGAAACGTTATGAACTATTTTAAGTTCAGAGTATATTAGATTATAGAAATTAAATAAGCAAACAATTAAGTATTTGATAAATACATTATTTTTTTGGAATTTCTCCATTTTTCTAAAATGACTAATTTTAACACTTTTTAGTTATTTAGGTAAAAACTAGTTTTAATTAATAAATAATAATTAATAATCAGAATATAAGAACATTTTATGCCTAAAAATATTATTAATTTGGAGTGTTCCAATTTTATTATTATCTAACTTTCATTTTTCTTTTTTAAATGATATGAAAACAGAACTTACCAATTAAAATTTGATAAAATCCATGAAAATATTTGTCACAAAATTAAAACAAAATAATGTAATATAGAAACGTTAAATTTCCCGCCTTTTTTTAAAAGCAGTCGGCACATGCACTCGAACTAACAGCTCTTACTCGTGAACAAGTGTTTGGCTACTGACGATGGCGTCTAACGAGTGGTCGGAAGTAGCGTTTATTGTAGTGTTTTGTACGCAAATGGATGGCATTGTCTGGTGGCTCCTTTATTTTTCATGATTTTTAGTATATTTTTATATAATAGTAGTTATATACATATTTTTAACAAGTGTGCATTGTAATCCGAAAAACTGTTTGTCTGATTGTTATTCGTCCTTGGTCAATTTAACAACCAGACAGAAATTTATACATAATAATTACTTAGTTATTAGTAGCGTTGAGTATTGACAAATTTATAAAAAAAGTATGATTTTTAATTTATTTATTCGTGACTTTGTTTTTTTCCCAAAATAAATTATTATAACACACTGAAGTTTAAAATACGAGTCCAGTTGACTTTTGCAATCATCGTAAAAAAATTTAAAACCTATATATAATACAGTATACATAAATTAAACAGAAAGGCTAAAATTACAGTTTTCTTTACAATATTTCTTACAATAACATATATTACATACCAAGGTTAACGTCGCCTAAAAGGACTAGTATGTAATCCGATATGCACTATTTCAAATATCTTCAGTATTATTAAAATAATAGCTAAATATCTTGTCACTCCGAGTTCATAAATTATATCATAAACATGAATTATAATCAAATAAATTAAAATGTCACCATTTATTTCTTCTATTCACAAGATATAAATAAACCCATTAACTTATTCTTAATCATTAATTAATAACTATTTCGTTTGTAAAGCAAAATGTAATAATAAAAAAATAAAAACTCTACAAATATTTGTTACAATAACGTGAGCCATTAGCTTAAGACTAATGCCTACCCGTCAGTGTAAGCCCGAAATAGTTGCTTTATCTATGTAAAACACTTTATCTTCAAAGTTTTACCCCCAGCCCGCTATCGGCGCATGTTCAAATTAAAAAGTTATTAAGGACGTTCTACTTTGACTTATGTGGTAGGTACGAAAATTAAGCTCATTTAATGTACGTTTGACGACACGTTCGGCTCAGTTTATAGTGACCCTACTTGCTAAGCCAGCGGTCGCGGATTCGAGTGCCCCTGTGAGCATTCATTTGTGTGATGAGCACGAATGTTTGTACTTCAGTCATGGGTATTTATATTTATAATATGTATTTAAAGTTATAAGTATATCTTTAGTGTCTCAACTATCTGGTATCCATAACACAAGCCGCGTAGCTTTTCATGGAACTAGATGGTGCTGTGTGTTAATGTTCCCACATATCTAATATATATTACAAGCATTGCCCGCGGCATGCAGGCAGGCAATGCACTGTTTATGTTTTATTTAGAACTAGTACGGCCCGGGGCTTCGCCCGCGTTCAGATGACCAAAAGCCAAATTCTTAGGTTTTACATATTAGTATACTCTTACAATGCAGTTTTTGTATTTTTTCTCAGAAATGAGACATTTTCCCGCGGTAAAAAGTATCTTATATGTTGACCCGGATAACCAGCTGTCACCATACGAAATTTCATCAAAATCCCTTCAGTGGCTTTTCTGTGATGCGGTAACAGACAGACAGACAGACAGAACAAAGACAAAAATCCTAAAAACTATAAATTCGGCCTCTGTATCGATAATAAGGTTTACTTTAAAAAAGATTTTCTAAAAAATATTTTATGTACACATTCGGCTTAGTTACAATTTTATTATATATATAGATTTATATTTATTTATTTACAATACAAGAATAGTTTACATTCTTACTTCTAATCTAAATTCTAGTTAATGTAAATGTTATTTGCACATCTTTTATATAATTTTACACAATATATTTTATGTACATATTTACAATGTAACTTGAAGGTTTTGATAATTTGAACAAATTAATGTTGTTTAAATTCGTCTTAACTGTAGAAGTAACAAAAAGTTTATTAAGATCATAAGTAAATTAGGGACGTTGAAACATATAATTAATCTCTGATTAGGAACACCCAAAGGAATTAATCACAAAGAAAATTGGTATAATTAGTGGCAACTACATTGCAGTCGTTGTAATTACTATTTGAAAACTCGGCTCAATTTCATGTGAACTAATCAAAACTTGTAATGAAGTACTGATATATTTTATACATAACTTTCAAATATGTATGTAACATGTTACTACATAGTTTTTGAAGTGAAACTTCTCTAGAATCGTGTGATTTGAAACGGAAATTAAACACTAAAAAGAGACAAATACATAAATATCTAGGGTTAAGCCGGCAAGAGTATGAGATAGAATACGTTGCCATGGTAACCGTTGTTATTGTCATTACACAGGAAGTGAAAAATAATGAAATTAATATGTAATGTATATTTATGTCAAATAAATTGCAAAATAACTTTTAAACTTGGTAAAAATATGTGTTATTAAAAAAAATAACCTTATAAATGTCCTACTCCTGATACTCTATATTCATCTCATTTTATCGTAGGTTACTTTTCTGAAGTTTCACTTCTACCATGCACATGCACTTTTTTCATATTTTTCCTGCACGCTGTTTCTTTACCTAGAAAGAAATTAGAGTATAGATAATTAAATCATCGTCTTTCGATATGGCCCATTTATTAATTATTTTTAGCATTGTTTTAAAATTTGCTTCTCATGCACCAGAGTGCTTTGCAGTGGTCAGTATCAGTCAGACCCGCAGATGTTACACTGCTCTAATATGAACTCATCAAGAGGCACTCTGATTTGTTTTAAAGTAATTTTCGCTATCATATTAATTCGTTGCTGCGAAAAGCGTAGGCTAAAGCTAAGGAAAC